TCTTTTTTGCTGCTCAGACCAGCACAAATTGCTGCTGCCTCCAGGTTTCCATTGGTGCTTCTTTCTCCTCCTGTAAAGCAAAAACAAGGATGCACTGGAGGGAACATCTCCAGTAATGCCCCTTTAAGGATTTCAGCATGTCAGACACAGGATTAGGCCAATTTCATTCTCGTGTAAAAAGGTATTTCCCTTCACTGCTGTTATCCCTGAAGGTTTTCTGCCCCAAATTTATCTCTGCAGACATAATAGGGTCTAGAAAAAGACATAAGCACATCTCGTTGAAAATCAGGCATTAGAAGGGATTGGGTTTTGGCACAACTTTGTCAGCTTTGCACTGAATGAACAGGATTTGGCCCCAAAAACTGCTCAGAGTGAAGCCACTCACTCCACACAGGTCCCTTTACACCTCAAGATTTCCAAGCACTCGTGGAGTTATAAACCTTCTATACACAAAAACTCCACCTTGCTTTCAGCAGGGCCTCAGGAGTTCCATTTCCTCCATTTGCTTTTTGTTGAAGCATATTTAAACCAAAACCAAACAACATCTCAAGGTCTTTGCTTGCAAGTCCAGCCACACTTGCAGGCTGCACTGGCCACACAAGGGACACGTGTCTCCAGAGATGGAAATCTTCCATGGGTCAGGCTCCAGCTCTTGGAAATCACAAGCAAAGCCCTTGCAAAACAATCACTGCAACCCTAAAGATGTTGTCTGGCCAACTTACCTGTCTTCTTTTGCAGTTTTATTTTGGTCAGGACCAGAACAGTGATAGTGATGCAAATCAGCAGAGTGAGAGCTGGTAACACGACTTGGAGCAGACCTGGTTCAGCTGAGGAGCTGGAAAGATGAACCACCAGAATGAAATTGGATTTTTGATTCACCTACAGCATGTCTGGAGCACTTTAATGCAGCTTGTTGTTTTCACAGCAAAGGGTATAAACGAGTCATAAACTCTGACTGAATCAACAAACGGTCAACAAGTCAAGGAGAGCTGAAATCATTTCATCTGGAGTTTGGCTTATGAGGAAGTAATTCCTACATTGGCCTCTGCTCTGTTGTGTGGGGTTTGTGCTGCAAGCTGAGTTAGCCCTTCCAAAAGGAAAACGAGCTGTTTTCATGCCACAAAAACCACAATGCAAGGTTGATACATTTTTTGGTGAGTTGTTAGGGATTCTCATGCAGTTGGAGTGTGTCTACACACCGTGTCCTTGCAATAAAGAGAGAAATGCTGTCAGAGCTGCACAGGCAGAGAGGATTTCCTCAGGAATGGTGGAAAATCTGAGTGTTTATACAAGAACATGACTTGTAATAGGTAACATGCTCTGTGAATCTGAGAACTTCTCAGTATTGAACTGGATTTGAGGATTTTGTCCAGCTCGTTTATGGCTGATACTGCAATATCTGATACATCTGCATCAGCCACACAGATTCCTTCACCCTGTGCTGGATGGTGGGGTGAAAAGTCTCAGAGCTGCCTCCAACCATCCTGCCTAACAGGAAGCACAGAAGATAAATTCACTGGGAAACCACTTGCACTGGGTTGAGCCGCAGGGCTTGGTGTGGAGAGCTACCAGGGAATAATTACTGGCCAAATTACTCACAGCCTTTGATTAACCTTGTCCAAAGATAACTCCTTATGCAACACCAAGCACCCAACGCTGCCCATGTACTAGAGGGGCTTGGATAATGTGTGCAGTGAAGTACAGATTCACCAGGTTATTGCTCAAGCCTGATGTTTCCCAAGGTCCTGGCAAGAGCATAGCTGTTGACTCTGGCATCTGGTCTACAGAAGTGGCCAGCACCAGAAGGTTTAGAGGCAACTTCAAAGACACATGGAGATGAAGTAACCTTGCCTTCTGCTTCTCTAACTTCTAAAGTTTCCTGTAGGTGTTTTCGACATGCAACCTGTGCACAACCTCTGCAGAGCCCTGGGAAATGGGGTAGACAGGTCATAAACTACCAAGTTAGTGCCAATGAGGCTGTGGACTTACCTCTCAGGATAGATTTCACCTGGAGAGGTTCCAAAGGTGTCAAAGGTGGCAGCAGGCAGTAGGGTGCTGGTGCTTTCAGTGCCCATTGCAGTGCCCTTGGTGATGGTGCCCATTGTGCTGCTCTTGGGGATGGTTCCCATCATGTTGCTCTTGGTGATGGTGCCCACCACGGTGCTCTTGGTGCCAGTGGTCCTCACATACCTCAGGTCTGTGGTTCTCCTCTGTGTGGGTGTGCTGTAGGTAGCCAGGCTTGATAAAATGGGTTTCACATGGGTGGTTGTATCTGGGCCTTGTGAAGAGCAGGTTTCTACAGAGAACATTATTTTGAGGCTTTCATATTTATCTTTTTGCAGAGGCAACATGTTAGATTTACCAAAGATTTACACCACCTTGGCATGAAAAAATACACAGCATGATAGGACCAGACCTAAGCATTTCTCTTTTAGTCTTAGAGAAAACATCCTGGGAGCACTAATGAAAACTTTAATACTTGGCAAACATTTGTACTTTAACCAGTGTTTCTGTCTTTGCCAGAGGAGTAGTTCCATGGAACTGTGTATTTCCACAGTTTCTCAAACTGCAAGATAACCCTCAGCTTATCTTCAGAGCCAAGCACATGTCTGTGCTGCACTTGCAGGATCAGATGTCACATGCTAAGGGTTTGCATCAGAAATAGTCACTGATATCACTCAACCCAACTAAATTTCCTCTCAAAGCTCAGCTCAAGTGAGAAAACCTTTACCATCACCTCAGTTGCTTCCTAATAACTAAGGCAAAATCTAGAGCTGATGTCTCTCACGATGTTTTCATCACGGAATGGTTTGGGTTGGAAGGGACCTTAAAGATCATCTCATTGTGCCCCAGCTCATCCCACCACTTACCCTTAAGGATACGCAGCTTCACAGATGATGTGTGCTCTGTGTGTCCACTCTGAGCCCTGCACCAGTACCATCCTGCATCCTCCTCTCTCAGCTGGCTCAGCAGCACCGTGTACGTCCCACGTCTGGGGTCACTGCTGGTTACTTGTACTCGCCCTTTGTAGGACTCGTGCACAAACCCATCAGCATCCAGGAGCAGTGAGCAGTTCCCTTCCTTCCACCTGCACAGGTACTTCTTCTCATAGCTCCTCTTGGGGTCATAGTGGCACTTGAAGGATGTTGAGCCTCCGGGTGTGCTGCTGAGAAATTTGGGTCTCCTGGGAAGAGCAGAGGCTGCAGGTTGGAAGGGACAGAATTAGCATTTCATGGTCCTTGTCTGGGGTTGTGAGGAACCTGTGCAGACCCTGTGCCCCATCCTACCTGTGGTCACCTGTAGAATCATCTCCTGGGAGCTGTTCCCACCACTAGTCCCACACATGTACAGTCCTGAGTCTTCCTTTTGTAAGTCATTTATCAGGACTTTGAAAGCTCCAGAGCTCTCTGGAGGGGTGAGAAAGATTCGTCCTTGGTAACTCCTTCCCACATAGCCACTGGAGTCAGCTATGAGAATGCAGCTGCTTCTTCCCACTTTGCACCAGAACCTCTTCTTGCTGCTTTGAGCATCCCCAGATGGGCACAGGACTGTGACAGAGCCATGGAGCTCCCCTTGGATGAGCTGGGTTGGGCTTGACACAGCAGCACCTGTAGGGAGAGAGCAGGATAGGGACTGTCAGCACACAATCCACAGCCAGGTTGGAGAGAATTTCCTTTAGGCTGATTTGGCCAAATCTGGGTGATGTTATACCCTATCGTTATAAATATCTGGTTAATACACTGGGGTAGAAAGTGCTGAGACACCTGCAGGGTGTGGATGCTCTGACCTCTCCCATGAGCTGAGCTGCTGACACAGCAGAGTCTGCTCTGTCCCCACCAGCATCCTACCTGCCCCAACTGTCAGGTTCAGGCTGACGTACAGGCCGCCGTTGGTGATGCCAATGCCACATCTGTAGGTCCCTGTGTCACTGCTCTTCAGCCCTGTCATGGTCACTGTGAAGGTGCCATTCTGGGGGATGTCCTCCAGGGACACTCGCCCCTCGTACTCTCTTGAGGTGTAGCCAGTTGAAGAGATGATGGTGTAGCAAATTCCATTCCTTGCTCTTTTGCACCAATATTTCCGGTCGTTTTTGTTGGCTGGAGTGATGGAGTAGAAGCATTGGTGGGTGACTGATCCACCAACTCTCCCTGTCAAAAACCTGGATCCGTACAAGCTGCCTGAAACTGGCTCTTTGGGGGAAAAAAATAAAAAGGAGTTGTTGGTTACACAAAGACAACCAGACCCCACCTGGCAAACCCCAACATCGCTCCTTCGAGTCAGGGGTGTGATTCTGAGTGGCACCAGTGGGACAACTGGCTCGGTTTGGTTTGGATGTGGTATGTTATTCCCTTGAGAGGGACTGGTGTCACAGAGCCACCACCCTGTGCCATGGCACAGATGGGAAGACCCTTCATGCCCCTTACAGGATGCTCCAACCCCCACCAGCCCTGGAGTAAAAGGCCAAGGGCAGCAGTTAATGACAAACACCTAAGAACAACCTTTGGCATTTGCAAACTCTGCCTGATCTGGCAACATTCTTCCCCCTGTGGATGCTGCAGAGGGAGAGCAATGGAGAGCTGGGATTCTCCTCCCAGCTCTTGCCACACTTTGCTGGCTCTCTGCAGACTTCTAGTGAACAGGGAGGGTGGTTTGACTGGTTCCCATATTGCAGGTGGAGGTATCTAGTGTCCAAGTGGGGATTTAGCCAGAAGAACACAACCTGTGTTCCCAGTTCCAGCCATACCTGTTCTTATCAGTGTAGCTAACTGGGGACTTGGTTTCTTGGTGAACTCACCTTGCAGCAAAGCTGCTAAGAGAAGGAGAACCACCATGTCCAACCTTCACCAATATTCGTTCGGCAAACTTCAAAAAACTCACGGTGGGGATGGGATTTTGCTGATTTCTGTGTTCTCAAACAGAAGAGAGAGATTGTGGCTGGGATCTGCCAAGGTAAACCACCAGATTGCAGAGTGTTGCCTGCCTGGTGGCTCCCACTCCTGACAGGTCCTAGCCTGAAAATCAGGGAATTTCAAAAGGAAAAAAGGTGCTAAAAGTGCTCTGCAGTTCTCACACTCCTGAGTTGAATCCTGACATTTCTAAAGGCATTGCTGGCACTGAGGGGACAGTGGCAGTTGAAAGCTGTGAGGTGTCTGTTGGGCTGGTGAGGGACCTGCTGTGCTGCTGCACCAAATCTTCTCTCCTCTCTCCATTTTGCTCTCTCATCTCTCCTCTCTCCTCTTTCCACTCTCCTCTCTCTTTTCTCTTCTTTCTCCTCTTTCCTCTCTCCTCTCTCTTCTTTTTACTCTCTCTTCTCTCTCCACTCACAGGGTGTTTTTTTCAGCTCAAGAAACAGTAGGAAAAGCTATAGGTCTCAGGAATAACAGCACCCTTGAACATTCCCTTCCATCCCTAACTATCCTCCTTTTAATTTTTATTCCCTGCAATTTACCTTTGTACAGGTAGTTGTTATCCATTTGCAGATCTGTTTGGGTGTCTTTCAGACAGGAATGACTTCCTTGTTTAAGCTAAAACCTTTGGATTACCACATTGATTTATCTAAAAATTCCTTCTTGGAGATTTACCTCCTCTCCACTGCAGTTAAAACCTTGGGCAGTGCAAATCATAGGGTTTATTTCATCCTTGTTCTTGCACTGGGATCTCCTCAAAGCACTCAGGAAATAGGAACAAGGAAACCCAGGGCCACACTGAGCCTTATCCACAGTGCTGAGCCAAGTCCTGGATGCACACAGAGGACACTTTGTGCCCCTCTCCACCCTCTCATGCTGCAGAGGAGTGGGAGATGGCTCAGCTTGGCCTCACTTTGTGGTTTAGCCAAAACCAGCACAACCAGTGACCTGCTGTGCCTTGCACAGCTGTGTTGGGTACATCATGCATCTCCCCCAGCTTGCAGACACCCAGCTCTGCCCTTGCTTGTGGCTCTGGGGATGGAAGTGTGAGCCAGAGCTGCAGAAATGTTCTCTTCCCCTCTCAGCACAGGTTGTGGGGGTCCAGCTGGCACAGCATCCTCTTTGGGCAGTTCCCCCCCAGGTTTTCCCTCTGTCTGAGGCAGCTGAGACAGCTCTGCTGGGGAGATGTGTGTGTGGGCTGAGCACAACTGAACCCATTTTCTGTGTCCTCCTTGCAGCAAACAGCAAGGAAGATGTCCCAGTGCCCCCAGCAATGGGCAGTGCCTTCAGCAGAGCCTCAGCAGTTCCCTCACTGCAGCTCACAGACACTGGATGGGCAACTGGAAAATGCTGATTTTCACCCAATGTCATAATTCCCACCTGGAATTGAAGACCTCAAGCAAGGAGGAGCTCATGAGAATGGCCCTGGAAGAGCTGAATGTCCTTGTTTACCTTCATAAATGAAGAAAAATATTATCCCTATGCTCATTTGATCTTTCCTGACGTAACCACTTCAGCTGAACCAATGCACTCCCTTTTTTCCTCATTTTTGGGCTTTCTAGCTGCAGGACAGAGCTGTCACCTACATTTTCATCTCATTTAACCTCAGACTTTAGGCAAGGAGGAGGTTTGTTATTTTTTTTTAACCAGCAAATAGGGATTGAATATGAAGCAGAAAGTGAAAAGGAAGAGCTAGAATGACAAATCCCATCAATAAACCTCCTATGGTTGGTTTTCTCCTGCCTTTATTTCAGTTTCATATTAGGAAAGTGTCTATATGATCAAATTTTTGCAGCTGTCTGACCAAACCATTATCCTGCCACCATCCATAACTGGGATGCATAACTGGGCAGAGTCTCTCTGTGTGGCCTTGGATAAGTATTTACCATTTTCCACATCATTTTTTGTGTGTTCTTGCCAAAAAAAACCAAACCCAAACCCCTCAGCAAACTAATTTACAGCTTAAAAAATAATATTGCTATAGAAATAATGACTTTAAATTTCCTATCTGTTCCATACCATAGGTAAAATTCCACAAAGTATCTCATATAATCATTGTACAATAGCAATGTTCTCCAAATAAAATAGTGGTTTAAGGGCAAATTGAGGCTCCCTTACCTTAGACTGTCAATTTTCTGGTGCTGGAAATTTTCTCCTGCTGGAATTAAGTTCAATAAAGTGGTTTTTTTCAGTTTAAAGCTCAGTTAGTCTTTCCTCAGCTCTTGATGTTTAATTCTTTGCTTCATATATTCATGTCCAAACTTTAAAAACTAATGCACTGAAGTTTTTTCTCAAGGCTGGATGTGCATTGCGACTTTAAAAACTAATGCACTAAAGTTTTTTTCTCAAGGCTGGATGTGCATTGCTGAGCAAAGTGGTCAAAATACCTAGAGGAATAGCAGAGATGGCACAAATATAGTGAGGATGGGACCCAAAAATGGTCATTTTTAGCCACCTCATGACGCAGGAGACATGAGGGAAGGGGAAAGAAAAAGGTGAAGAGGCCAGGAGCAGAAATTACCAGAATTTGAGAGGAATTCCCCTGCTCTGCAGATGAAATTCTCCAACATAAAACAACTGCCCAAACAGCTGTAGTAAAATGGGGTTTGAGCCACTTCCAGGCAGAACTTCACATCAAGCAAGAACTTGGTGCATGTTTCCTCAAACATCTGTGGTTTGGATGAACCCAAGGGCTTCATGTAGCTAATGCTGGTCTTTTCATCCCATTCTCTTTATGAATCTGGGACAAAAAAAAGAAGGTTTTTACTTCAAATGATGCTATAAAGCCATCCCAGCAATGTGAGCAGAGCAGGTGGTGATGCTGTGCTGGTACAAGTGCTGCTTAGCCAACACATTTGGGTTTCTGTCTGGTTTTTTTCTCCCCTGCAATCCCTGCTGTGTATCACAGGTGTCTCTTCCACAAGGACATCACCACCAGCCAAGCTCTGGGAACCCTTTGCAGGTCTGTGAAGTGAATTTTCCATCTCCTGCTTAAGCATTGGGTTATTTGTCTGTCCTCTTGCCCTGACAGTCCCTTGCCAGGAAGGCAATTGCCATTAGAATTTCTCCCATTATCAGGACTGTGGCAGGTTGAGGAATCAAGTCAGTGCAGTCCCAAAACACAGAGGTTTTACCTGAAAAGATCTTTCAGCACTCAAACTTGTCATTTTGTGGTGATTAATTTTCCTCTGAATTTTCTCTTCCTGCATTCCAACCACTTCATACTTCAAATCTGCTGCACCATCATCCAGCACCAAACCCAGAGCTCTGCAAAAGTGTCACCAAACCCAGGTGTGCTCACCATGAGCATATAGGGTTTGCTTATCATGAGCAAATGTGGTTTGCTCAGGGCCTGCCAGAAGATGGAACTAAAGGCAGTTTGTTCTTGAACACACACAATTCCTCTTTTGCACTAACCAAAGAATCTCAGTTCAGAGAAGTGTAGACGTGCTGATACCCTTAAACTACAGAGGCATATTCTGGTTGTGTTCTTGTGAGAGACTTTAGTTTGCTTTTCCTTCAGATAATAATGATGGATTGCAAACAAAAATCGACCTGTGGCACTTCTGAGAATGCCCTGGGCTGGTTCCAGCACTCTGTGTGTGCCTCCAGGGTTTGCAGGAGAAGACTCACTGTAAGAAGTGGTGAAGGGTTCAGAGGGAGGTTGGTAGAACCTCCCTGCACTGGTTCTGCTGGCAGCTCTCAAGTTCTGCTCTTCCCTCCCTGAGTGCAGAAAGGCTTTGAAGAGCAGATTGTGTTCTGTGTAAATCTATCACCGAAGCACTTTGGAATCTCCCTGGCTGAAGATAAATCCCCATTGGAGCAGTTTTCTTTTCTTTATCACGATATGATTATTTATATTGCAGTCATTGTGAGTTGTACCAAACCTGTGCAATAAACTCTCCAATATTGGCTGGGCCTTGGCAGAATTAATCTGTCTGAGGATATTTATGACCCTGTCAGGAGCAAAGCAATAGGATTGGCCTTGGATTAGCAATAAAATGGGATACAGCAGACGGTGGGAACCTCCTAAGACTACTCAGTATAGTCATAAAATCATATAATCAGAGTCAGGAAATGGTTTGTGTTGGAAAGAACCTTAAAGCTTATCTCATTCCAATCCCCTCTGGTGGGCAGGGACACCTTCCACTAGCCCAGGTTGCTCCAAGCCCCATCCAACCTGGCCTGGAACACTTCTAGGGATGGAACAGCCACAGCTTCTCTGGGCAAATCTCTAGTCTGTCAAGTCTCCTGTCCATGAGACCCTGCAGAGAGATGCTGAAGGATAAGTTGAGGGTTTGGGCTGCTGCTCCTTCCTTTGGCACTCAGAGACACCTCTGCAGATTTGCAGTTTCTCCACTGTGCACCTGCTGAGGTTGGTGGCAGCACCTCAGCACAGTCAGAGCTGTAATGACTATTACTGCTCATCCTCAGGACCTGCAGGAGTTAATGATTAGACTCCAGCGAGGGCAGAGTGCCCTGAACGAGCTGTTGGAGGTGTGCACAAAGCCCTGAGCGAGGAACAACAGTGCCCCTTTCTGTCTCTTCCTGCACTTCAGAGCTGGAAACAAAGAGCTGAGAGCTCTGGGAAATGAAGTGCCCTCACCCCTTGCCCTGCCAAGGCAGTTCAACAGCTCTCCCAGCCTGAATCCAGGG